AAAAAAAAGTGTATTCACCACAAACATTCAAATCTGGGCAATGATTTTCCTTTAAACTTCATAGAATCACAGACAATAAAAGCCAGACAAGGATGATAAATATATCATATAAATATAGCACACCTTCTAAAATTATTTTCTACTATAGGTGTACCAAATTATCTGGACCTTAAAACCAGGAGAAATACTACCAAAAAACTCTGAGACTATGCATCAGAAAAATGCCAATATATGAACTGATGTTCCAAATTGTTTTATGGCTCTGCATGGGTATAAATAGCTTAGGAGTAATGCAATGAAACAGCAAAAATTGAAAACTCAATAATAATCAGAGTAGGTGAATTCTCAAAAGCAAGAGACAATTACTTTTCACAGCATCCACAACCATGGCAGTCAATAAGGGAAGAATCTTCAGAAAAAAATTAATTAATAGTTTCTTTGTTTATAAACAATTGCAAACAAATGTAGACAACCTTCACCTGAAAGATACTGATTTACTTAATTGCCAATTCTTTCAAAGCTCTCATAGCATACACTTTTATTGCTTCCGCAGACAGCACAGGGACAAGAGAAAAGAACTCAGAAATATAAACAAAGGATCGCACTAGATCAGGCCAAAAGCCTAGTATTAAATTCCCACAGTGATCAATTCATGCTGAAAGTCTACAACAGAGCAAAAAGGACTCTCCCAATCATGCAACTAGTACTGAGAGGCATATCCAGTCTGAAAGCTGGAATAACTACAAGCCACAATATGGAAACTTCCAAGATTATGTTATAAAGCATAGATTAATGTGATTTAAACAGAGGACTAATGTGTTAAGCTACTGTTGTGTGAATCTAAGATGGGCAGGATGCATATGCAAGTATTGGAACCTGACTATAGTACAAATATAAATGACTGAATACAGAAATAAATTTAGCAGGCTGCTGCTCCTTCACCCTTAGGCCGGACAAACTTTGAGAACTACCAAGCATAGTTTCCCTGTCATATCTGGGCTCCAATCAAAATTTACCTGCCTCTCAATATTCAGAAGAGGAAAAAGGAGTGGAGTTCCTAGAAAGGGTCAACTACAGGACAGAGTAACAACATAAAATGAGAAAACATCCCTCTGAGGTCACCTAGAATCCCCAATTAAGACCACTCAAATGAATCACCAATAAGCGACAATTAATTTTCAGGGAAAAATTAATGATGCTACAAAAGTTATCTTCTCCTGTTAAGATACTTGTGTAAGTATCTTGACAAAATAAAAAATAAATACAGCTTTATAATACTATGAAATTACCTTAAAAAGAAAAATAAGACAGCTGTACTAAACCAATTGTAGTTTGTTCCGATAAATTCTATTATCATACCCTGAACACGCTGGTAGGGTTAAAGAAAGATCTGTGCTAAGATCTTTGAGAACAGATCTAACTAGTAGCAGGCATGCCAAATAATCAACCCTAATAACACTACGTGGCTATATACTTATTTTATTTATTCATTTATATGCCGCCTTCTCACCCCAAAGGGGACTCAGAGCAGCTTACTATATATAATATATATATACATATAATACATTATATTATTAGCATAGTACAATATCAGTATTATATATTACTATATTGTACTATACCATTATATTGTAATATTATTAGTAATATTACATCTTATATAAAATATATAATTATAATAATATATTATTATTAGTAGTAGTATTATATTGTATAACATTATAATATCCTAAATTATATTGACTTCATATTGAATTACAGTAATTAAAATCAACACTTAACTTCCACACTTAAATGGGTACAAAATGTTGGTGATACCTGCATGTTATAGCCAACTTTTCCCCAATGTTATTCCCATGCACTATGGTACTTCTACAAGATAGAACTGGCAGTTAAGCTGAATTGTCAGGTTAGCAAACTCAATCCTGGAGTAAAATTGGGTTTTCTGAAAGGAAAAGCCAGATAAATAAATTAACAACTGACTGAGGACGAAATCTGGCCGAAGTGTTTCAACTGCATGAATTCAAATCAACACTTCCTTCCCAAAATCTATGTTGCAGCATAGAATTTCCAAGATTTCTACTTTTAACATTCACATTCTTACACAAGTATCTTAACAGGAGAAGATAACTTTTGTAGCATCATTGCCCCATGTATCCGTATGCAGTCTTTGCTCTGGCTTTCCTTTGGGAGCTGCTAAAACTTGAACACGGTTCGCGTGTAAGACTGCACTCTCAAGAAGACTTGTTAGAATAAAAGACCCATTGGAAACAATCTAGCTTCCCAATAAATGTTTTGGAACTATGAAGACAAACTCCAAAGACAATATTCCAAAAGAACAAACTATGTAAATTTTAACTAAGACATCAGAAGAAAAATAGTGGCAAATCTTATTTTTCCTCTTTTTCCAAAAGATTATTGTGCCATTGCTGGTATCATCCAATATTAGATGGTTCATGAAATTCAAGACTGTAAAGAGACATATACACTGTTTTACCACATAAGAATTCATCTAGTTGGATACCACATAAAAAAACACCAGCTAGCAATGGGGATCATCTTCAGCCACTAGGCTGACTGTCCTGCTTGAAGTCATGTCCTGCACTGGATCCCGATTTCACTATGCTTGGATGGCATGATCCAATTTCCTTGCTTTTGGCCTGCATCAATAGGAGCATAGTGTCTAGATCTAGGGAATTAATGCTACCCCTCTATTCTGCCTTGGTTAGACCACACCTGGAATATTGTGTCCAATTCTGGGCACCACAATTCAAGAGAGATATTGACAAGCTGGAATGTGTCCAGAGGAGGGCGACTAAAATGATCAAGGTCTGGAGAACAAGCCCTATGAGGAGTGGCTTAAGGAGCTGGGCATGTTTAGCCTGAAGAAGAGAAGGCTGAGAGGAGATATGATAGCCATGTATAAATATGTGAGAGGAAGCCACAGGGAGGAGGGAGCAAGCTTGTTTTCTGCTTCCCTGGAGACTAGGACGCGAAACAATGGCTTCAAACGACAAGAAAGGAGATTCCATCTGAACATGAGGAAGAACTTCCTGACTGTGAGAGCCGTTCAGCAGTGGAACTCTCTGCCCCGGAGTGTGGTGGAGGCTCCTTCTTTGGAAGCTTTTAAACAGAGGCTGGATGGCCATCTGTCAGGTGTAATTTGAATACAATATTCCTACTCCTTGGCAGGGGGTTGGACTGGATGGCCCGTGAGGTCTCTTCCAACTCTTTGATTCTATTATTCTATTGCACAAAATAAATTAATCAATTATAATGATTTTCAAAGGGCTTAACACACAATCTTCTGGAGCTGGGCATTTGAACTGTCAAAAGAAATCTGATCAACCAAATTGTTAAATAATGGCTCTGTACCTTTTAATAATGGCTTTGTTCTTAGAACAACAAAAAAGATACCTTCATCACCCACACCGGCTGATAACAAATGCAGATGACCCAAACAACATAGCTAATGCAACACATTTGATTGCATGAGAACTGAAATGCATTATTTCAACCTGAATATTTCTGTCACTGTGAGCAGCTGTGTTCTTTTTTGAAGGTACCTGCAATTATAGCAAGTGGCTGGTGGAATCAGCTTTGGCTTCCTGCCAGGCTTGTTCTTGGCTACTGAGGGACTAAAGGTGAAGAATCTTCACGTCTGTCCTTGCTAACCTATGACATCATCTTGACATCTATAAAAAGCTGAGCTGCTAGCAGCACAATATCACTCTTGGCTCCATGGAATATTTGGTTGTAATTAAATTTCAAGCAATCAACCATTTACTAAACTACCTCCCACCCCAAACCTGTGAACTGAATATAAACGAGTATGAGCCGACCCAAATATAAGCGAGACACCTAATTTTACCACAAAAAACTTTGAAAATGTATTGACTCGAGTATAAGCTGAGGGTGGGAAATGCAGCAGCTACTAGTAAATTTCAAAATAAAAATAGATACCAATAAAATTATATTAATTTAGGCATTAGTAGGTTAAAAGTTTTTGAATATTTACATAAAACTGTAATTCAAGATAAGACTGTCCAATTCTGATTAAACCATTACTCTAACCTTCTTCAATGTAAATATGCTTACACGTCCTCCAATAATAATAAATAGAGTAAAATAATAATAATAATAGAGTATAATAATAAATGTAACAATAATAGAATAAAATAATTTAATAACAACAATAATAAAATAATAAATGTAATAACAACAACAACAACAAAGTAAAATCATAAATAACCTTGACTTGAGTATAAGCCGGGGGAGACTTTTTCAGCCTAAAAAAAGGACTGAAAAACTAGGCTTATACTCAAGTATATACAGTAATTCAAAACTGAAGGACGGCTATGACAAGACTCATGATGCACATATTTTAAAATAGCGCTTCATTCTACAACAAAGCATTTCAAAGGAAACAATGTAAGTGCAAAAATACTATTCATCTAGAATGGACCCAAATTGAACAGAAAAAATTGATTTGTAATCTCTCCCCACCAAAACTCAAGAGCTTTTAAAAAGGCATTTTGAAGGATTTTCAAAAAGTACATATCTTTTGTGGAAAAATACACAAAATAATACGGTTATGTGTTTATGTATGTGTGAAAGTGAAATAACCTGTGAAAGGGATATTCAGATTTTTTTGAGCAAGCACATTTACTGTAGCTCTGGCCATAGCTCAGCTGCAAAGCACATGTTTTGCATACAAAAGCTCCCAGGTTCAATCCCTGCCATCTCCAGTGAGAGAAAGTAAAGACTTCTGTCTAAAATTCTGGAAAATTACTGTCAATCAGTAGAGTCAATAAAGACCTAAATGGAGCGTCTGTCTGACAAAGAAAAAGGCAGACTCTCGTGTTTCTAAAAAAAAACAGGGGACTAAAGAAAGTGATGGCTAGTCATGCAGAACACACCAATCATGCATACAAATATTAGGAGTGTGATAAGAAGGGGAGACACATGCAACAAGGTCTCTTTGTGCAACAATAGCTTACCCTCTTTTCCGTCTAAAGGTTTTGAGACGTCCATGTCAAAATTCTCTTGCATCTGCTGTCCCTTGAAACAACTCAGATGTTCCTGTTCTATCAGATTGCTTTCCTCTTCCTCCAAGGGCTGCCAAGTGCCATCAATAAACCACTGCCCACGCATCACAGGAATCTTTTCAGATTCTAAAAAGAAAAAAAGAATGCAATGATTTTAGATCTAGCACAGTAGTTAGTGAAATTATAAAATAATGGTTTTGGGCAACATGTGACTACATGTGTGAGACAACTGAACTTCAGTAGGTCTGGCTGCCATGCCATAGATTGTTTGCATAGTGATGGCTGGCTCTGCATTTCTAAAGTATCTGATTCCATTTGGAAGTTGCCCAGAAAAATAGAAATGGCTACCTTGTAGGCCAGGTAATTTGGTTAAATTTCAAGAACAGATCACTTCCGTCTATTTTTAACAGTCAGTAACTTCTTTAAAATGTAAACAATTTGTGGGGTTTTTAATGTCTGTAAAAATAGCAAAAACTTTAAAACAACAGCTCTATATTGAACAAATGCGCAGACACAGTTTATCCACATGTCTTCCAAATCCAGTTCTACTAAAGCAGGCCTCAAGTACAGCTATCACCCTTAACACTTTTGCACACATCCTAAACTAAGATTAGGAATTCTATTGTAAAATGATAGACAAGACCTTGGTTATGCACTTTTAAAATGTAACTTATGCATTAACTTCATGGCTGAAATTACATCTTGCAATTTTTAAACCTTGGAATATTTTTATAAAACATAGTGATTCCTTCTGTCACTGGTACAACCTGCATAGGTCACTTTTTCCAATTTTATACACATAAAAATATATTGTCTTTCTAATTTCAAGAAGTAATCATTATACATTTATACTGATGCCATTTTATTTATTGTTTTGTTTTGTTTGTTTATCATCTGTCAGGGGTGATTTGAATGCAATATTCCTGCTTCTTGGCAGGGGGTTGGACTGGATGGCCCATGAGGTCTCTTCCAACTCTTTGATTCTATGATTCTATGATCATGGCATTTTGCCACTTTCTGCCTGGAAACTGCCCTTGAAAAATAATAAAGACTGAGGATGAAAAAACTTAGTACTCTTCCTGTCTATTGCATACATAATATACTAAATTTCAATTTTGAAATGTAAAAGGATATATTATTAACTTCTCCTTTCCACCAACCTTATGGTTCCTTATCAGCAAATCCTTTAATAGAAACTAATTAGGGAAACACACACAGACTCACACACTTGCCAACTCTGCTTCAGGGAAGCTATTATGGGATGTTTAGAAAGAACCTGGCTACATTTTTGTAAAAGCACCTTAATTAAGAGATAAAATTCCATTTACTTCATTTGTAGCTGAGTTTGCTCTGTTATCCTGAAGGGAAGTCTCCACTTACAAGGATTGACTGTGCCAGTAACAAGAATTTATACCAAATCCAGAAGATAAAAACCTTCATGTTTCACCTAGAAAATAATTTCTCTTTTATACTTCCCTTCTTGCATGGAAGTACATAAAAGATCATAATGTGACATAGAAGACAAAAAATATTCTGAAATGGAACAAGAGTAGCCAGTATTAGAAATACTTGTCAAAGCAAAGGGAGAGCTGCATTTATCATATCCACAGATGGGCAACCAAGCAAGAAAAGCACAAAACCTATCAAATTTGAAATCCCAGGATTAAATAGGACATCTGGATGTGGGAGGCACACATCACATATTAATTTCCAACTTGACCTGCACACGTTTGGAGAAAGGGTGTCAAACGCAATACCAGTCAGTACTTATGGACCTCTGGTACTCATTTTTTGAATTTTTTCAGTACATCTCTCACTAAATACAAAAATAAAATCATACTGTAAGTTACATGGATCGGACCACAAGTTAGGTTACAGCTGCAACATTGCAATATGATGTTGCTATGTGCCCTAAACAGACTGTGACTGCTTAAGGCAGTGGTTCTCAACCTGTGGGTCCCCAGGTGTTTTGTCCTACAACTCCCAGAAATCCCAGTTAGTTTACCAGCTGTTAGGATTTCTGAGAGCTGAAGGCCAAAACATCTGGGAACCCACAGGTTAAGAACCACTGGCTTAAGGGTTGCTTGGGTAGAGATCTTCAGAGGAGGATTCCACCGCCTTCCTCTAAGCTAAGGCTAAGACATGTCCAAAGTCAATCTTCTTTTGCACATTTTATACCTTCCATCATATATTACTATTTCACCTAATTCCCATTTTTCCCCTCTCAACACAACAATTCCATTCCATTCCATTGATTTCATCTCAGCACATGAGGTGACATTTGTGGTGAAAAAATAAATGTCACCACAAAACAACATGAACAGCAGGAAGTACGTTCTAGTCTGGAGAAATGTCACAATTCCCTCATTCTCTCAAACTGCCCATTATTTCTTCTCCATTAGCTTGTTCCTTTAATAATTCATTCAAGGCCAATACTTCTTTGATGCACTAATTGCCATCAACTGAAGGAGTTTTTATGTTGAATCCTTTACCAGAGAAAAAAAAATAATTTGTTGTTTACTGTGCCTTCCAGTCATTTCCAACTTATGGCAACCCTAAGGAGAACCTATCATTAGGTTTTCTTGGCAGGATTGTTTCAGAGAGAGTTTGTCCTTGAATTCTTCTGAGTGACTTGCTCAAAGTCACCCAAAGGACTTTCTATGGCTGAGCAGGGATTCAAACGTTGGTCTTCATAGTGCAACTCTCAAACAGCTACACTGACACACACATTTACTTTATCCAAACATACATGGTCAAGAGCACATGGCCATGAACCTGGAGAGGTGGAGTAACAAGGAGCAGTAGCTGAAACATATAATTATTGTTTCGTACACAGTGACTGTTCAACTATGAGTCAGGCATTAGAGGTGTCCTCAAAAAAGTCCTCAACAGACCTAGATGAGGTGACTAATTCATGCAAACTCAAACCACGAGTTTTTAAAAAGAGCTATGTTCATAGAGAACAATTTGTACTAGGCAGCAAGAAAGCATGTGGAACCAATCTCAAAGTAAGACCTTGCAACCATACTGAAGGAAAAAGAAGCTATGCAACCCTAACAAATGGCATCATGATATACAATCTTTGGGATCTATGCCTTCAGGATACCATACAAATGTACTTTGGAGTGTGTGTGGGTGGTTTTCAAATTATGGAGAATTGTGTAGATTATTTTACCTGGCTATAGGAATATGCAAGTGGGAAGAGAAAAATCTTCCACTAGGCAAAAAAGGCTGTGAGGAAATAAGATTCCAGGTGCTTTGTTGTGGCCTTACCACAGAGTATCAAAGGGCAAAGAGCCAGCTGTGATTTCAGTCCAGTAAACTGACACGACCACATGAGGTAAGCAGGTCACTACAACTTCATTATTGACGGGATGCTTTCTGTCAACACCCTTAATCTTCTCAAGATCACATGCTCGCCTCCCTTCTTGGTACAATTCCACTTTTGATGCTGGCATCTGGGAATCTCTACTTCCAGCCTCAGAAATCCCTCAGTTAGCAGCATACGTGCCCATTTCAAACATCTGCCACACGGATTTAATGAGAAGGCAAAAGTCACTAAGGAATGGGGAGTTATGCAGCAGGTCACCAATTTCAACCTTTCCTGTCTTCTCCCTTCTCCTTCCTTCTTCAGATAAGCATGGCTTTATCTCCATGCCTACTCACTACAGCAGTAAGATTTTAAATAATTTGTCTTATCCCTTCTTTTCTCCATGTACCCATGCCATCCAAATACCCAAGGCATCAACTATCCTGTTGCTAAAAGGATATCCTGTGTTCCACATTCTCAACTATCTAGATTCGAATTATAAGTGGGAGTGGAAGCAAGGGGACTGCCAAGGCTATGTGTGCTCTGTCTCAAAAAATCAACACCAGGGAAACTTGAATTTAGAATATATGGAAACTCTCTTCACTTATGCTTCATGCATTTGGCTTCCAAGACCCAAGTTTTCCAAACAGGATTTCCCAAAACAATAGGGGAAAGTATGGCAACTGAATACAAGGGAAGAACATTAAGAGTACCAACATGTGTAGGGATAAAGAATTGTATAGGGCACAAAAATGTATCTTAGGAACTTGGGAATGCTCTTTTGGCTTCTGTGTGGTAGAGTATTTCATGCCATATTCTCAGTTGCAATTAAGTTTAGAAACCAGATGCCTACCTCCACCCCAGCTCATTTTGGATGCAAAACTTTGCACACACCATCATCATCATCATCATCATCATCATCATCATTTAATAACTTATTAATCGCCCTCCATCCAAGAATGCTCTAGGCGATTTACAGCTAAATTATAAAAGATAAAATACATACATACAAAAATTAAAAATTAACAGAGATCGAATGCTCTAGTAAAAAGCCAGGTCTTAAGTGCGAGAGTAAAAGGCCCTAAGTCACGCATGGCTCTCATGTAGGGCGGCAAGGAATTCCACAAGGCAGGGGCAGAAATAGAAAAAGCCCTGCGTCTGGTCCTTTCCAAGTGCACTTCTCTAGGACCCGGTATATGGAGTAAGTCACGTTGGGCTGGTCGTTGTGACCTCCGATGATGGGAGAAGGAGAGGCGGTCCCTAAGGTACGATGGACCCTGGCCGTAAAGAGTTTTAAAGGCCAGAACTAGCCATAAAGAACACATCTCTACTTTTGGAACACACACATTACACATCTTCCTTCACTGTATCTATTTAATAAAGACCAATCTAGAAATGGAAATTATGAAGCTAGTGAATTTCTATGGAAATTGAAAGGTACACAAAAGTCATTGGTGGGTTATAAGAGATGAAAGGGAAAAGAGTCCTATGGCTCTTTTCAAATATAGTAAGACTCTGACTGAGGAGCCTTATAATCAAGGTGAAAGAAGAAAGCGCAAAAGCCGGGTTGCAGCTAAACGTCAAAAAAACCAAGATTATGGCAACAAGAATGATTGACAACTGGAAAACAGAGGGAGAAACCGTGGAGGCTGTGACAGACTTTGTATTTCTAGGTGCAAAGATTACTGCAGATGCAGACTGTGGCCAGGAAATCAGAAGACGCTTACTTCTTGGGAGGAGAGCAATGTCCAGTCTCGATAAAATAGTGAAGAGTAGAGACATCAGACTGGCAACAAAGATCTGCCTAGTCAAAGCC